CGAAAGGCAACATCCCTAAAACGGAGGAGCGTCACAAGGGGAGACTTCTGATTGCGTGTCCCACCCCACCCCACACGGATCTCAGACAGCTTCGTGGGAGATGGGCTGGGGGTGATCCGTGACGTTGAATGAAGCTCATACATCAGGGAAATGTGGCGCAGAGAGGAAAGTGTGTGCTGGGAATTCCGGGGGGGTCACAGTTTCCATCCCTTTGCCACCTGTGTGACTTGGGCAAGCCAGAAGGTGGCTGTGCCTCGGTTTCTCCTGACACAGACAGGAATGGCACCTATCTCGTACCCCGGGTATGGAATTGAGATAACCCACATCAAGCAATTTAAGCCAATTTCTGTTTCTAAAAATGTGCTCAAAAGATCTATGAGTCGCTGCTGTGTTTGCTGTTACTGCTGATGTTAGAAAGGAATAATTTAATTCTTTCACCTAGGGCAGCTAGGTTGGGAGAATAGAAGAGAAAAAGACTTAAAAACTTTTCATTTTTCCGTTTAAAAACAAAACAAAACCAAACAAACGTGGGCCATGGCGATAGTACAACAGGGAGAGCATCTGCCTTGCACACAGCCGTCCCAGGTTTGATCCCGGCATCCCATGTGGTCCACCCAGCACCATCAGGAGTAATTCCTGGGTGCAAAGCCAGGAGTAACCTCTGAACATCACTGGATGTGACCCAAAAAGCAAAAACCAAACCAAAACAAAAAGCCTGTCAGGGTCTACGGAGAGAGTTCCAGAGCTTGGGTGTTTGCCCTGCTCGGATCTCACCAACCCCAGTTCAAATCCCTGCCACCACAGATGGTGCCTGGACCACTGACTCTGGGGTCACTCCTGACCCTGAGCACCAAACAGGGTAGCCCAACTGCTCCCCCTAAGAAAACAACCTGTTGCTCATTTTATTCACAGGCGTGCTGGAAAGCTCTAGTAAGTTATTACCATTCTTGAGCTTAGCATCTGGCTATGAATACGAGGTCCTGATTGCTAACAAGGAAACAATGAAAGAAAGTCAAAGCAGAGCTGAAGAGACTGTTGAGGCAGAGAAGGAGACTGACCTTGTTGGCAAGTGAGGTCGAGCTGATAAAGCTGCAGGATGAGAATGTGGCAGTCTCCTGCGAAATCGGTCCTGGGTGAATTGGGGTTTGAGTTGTTTTAGTCTTTGGGCGTATCCAGGGGGTGTGCGGCGCTGACTCCTGACTTTGTGCTCAGGGATCTCTCCTGAAGGACCTGGGCGGATATATGGGGTGCCGGGAACCAAACCCAGGTCGGCCACATGCAAAACAAATCCTTTGCTCCAGACCCCTCATATTTTAAATACGCCCTTATAAGGGCAAAGCTGACGCCATGACAGGCAGCAGAAATGAGAAAAATCAAGCAGGTCTCAGGTTCAATTCATGAAACTGAAAAAGTCTCTGTTTCCCTACAATGAAACAATGTGCAACTGGCCAACCCGAACCCACCTGCGAAGTTCCTGGGCCCAATACATGGGCTCAATCAATCCATCACAACGCCCAGAAGTTGCCTTTTGTTTACCCTAAAAGAATGAGTCGCATATGTCACCATGAACTGCCAGTGGAAACTGTTGCTTAACTATTGCCTGACCACTGTTACCCTAGACACTTGCCAAAACAACTTTGTTTGGCAACTAAGTAAGGTTTCTTTCTGAAACAATAAAGCCTGCACTGCTTACTTAATCAAAGCCTCTGTACAAACTGCTTGCTTCCTGAAGTCTGTTGGGGTCGCTGTCAAGAGACCAGCCACTCTGTGGGTGAGATAGCTGATCCCAGGGTACTGGAATAAAACTCCTCCTGCTTTTGCGTTATCGAGTTCGTGTCTGTCTGTCTCGCCGCTTGGGAACCGGGGTCCCGGGCTTAACACCCTCTTTTGCCATTTGCCACTGACATTTCATGGGTGTGCATATAAAGCCCACATTCTCTGTGGGGTCTGTGGCCACGTCCGTCAGTATGGCAGCCCGGGGATGTGGCCCTGGCAGAACTCCTGCTTTGCAAGCCTGAGACCCCAAGCTCTGGCCCCAGGAACCCCCCCCCCCACATTCTGCCCCCAGGAAACCCCCCACATGCGTGTGCTCTACAGGACTTGGCTCTCAGGGGTCCCCGGTGACTCAACGAAGCCTGAGTCCAACCCAGTCCATCAGGTCTGTTCAAGTGCCACCACTAACATGTGCGAACCCAAAGAAAAAGAAGAAGCCACCAGGCTGTCTTTCACAGGGGTAACTCGAGGGGGGGGGGCGGGTTGTTTCCCTCCCCTCCCCAGCAGAACCCCGGCAGCCAGAAGCCTCCAGAACCCAACCGCTGCCATGCTCAAGGCCGCTCTCCACAGGTTCAGATGCGTGTCACCCACGAGGGAACTGGAAGAAAAACCCAGGTATGCGGGACCCGTGACTGAGATCTCCAAGCCTGCCTGGATTGGGACTGGGCCTCCTCCACCCAGATTCCCAGTTTTCCAGTAGCTTGGCAGTCACACCCACAAACTGCCTCCTGCCATGTAATCTCATCAATAGCCAAGATCCAGAGATAAAGCTTTGGGAAGAGAGCAACACAAGACATCCTGGAGCATGTGACCTCTAGCCCACTCATGTACCAAAAGTAGCGCACATTTGTTTGGGTTTAACATACATGCTTGTAATCTCTTATATAAGGGCTCCAGGATGAAATATAACAATCTTCACACACGTTCCTCTTAGGGTGAAGGGAAGGTGCACGGTGATGGAATTGGTGTTTGAATATTATCTGCAATGAATTACTGTGAACAACTTTATAAAAATTAAATTTTTTGAAAAATTGAGCACATGCCCCCAGAAGTGCAATTCACAGTGAGTACATAGGCATGCACCACGAATAAAAGTGGGTGACCCCTAGGGAAAAAAAAAGAAAGCCATAAAATACAATTTTGTTTGTTTTGTGTTTTTGAGTCACATCTGGCTATTCTTAGGGCTTCCTCCTGTCTCTGGGCTTGGGGATCACCTGGAGGGTTTGGAGGACCAGATGGGCTGCCAGGCATCAAACTCAGGTCAACTGCATGCAAGGAAAGCACCCTACCCCCTGTATCTCTCTCCTGTCCCAAATTTTCTAAAATATGAAGGGCAAAAACCAAAATAAGTCAAAATCAGATGGAAAAAATTAAATCTAAAGAAGAAAAACAGTGCTCACTTCGGCAGCACATATACTAAAATTGGAGAAGATTAGCATGACCCCTGTGCAAGGATAACACGCAAATTCATGAAGTGTTCCATATTTAAAAAAAAAGAAAGAAGAAAAACATGTAACTTGGACTGTGTCATTGTACTTCTAAATGTTTATTTTCTAGATTTCCTCTCAAACATGTACAAAGAAGGGCTGGAGAGATAATGGAGTGGGCAGGCACTTGCCCTGCACTTGGCCAGCCTGGGTTCCATCGCCAGCACCCTCAAGCCTGGCCAGGAGAGATCCCTGAGGGCACAGTCAGGTGCAAGCCGTGAGCGCCGCCGGGTGTGGCTCAAAAACGAAACAAAAATCAAACAGGTACCAAAAATATGTACTAGGGTGCTGTGTGCTGGACAGTAAATTATACACTGGGAACGGTTCATCTCTCAGAACAAGAGTTTTGGGGTGGACCACGCAGTAGTGTGGGTCTGCAGAAATTCTGAGGTAGGAAAAGTTTTGAGCAATACTCTTCGATACAAAGAGAGAGCAGTAAATGCGAGAACTTCCTGGGGGGAGCTGAAGAGAACCGGCCTTGCAAACATGAGGCCCTGACACCAAAACCCCATTCAGAAAGGGAAGTGGGGGCTGGAAAGATGGTGCAACAGGCCGAGTGAATGCTTCGCCTGTCGGGGCCCTTGTTTGAACCCGGCCACCGCACTCCCTCGGGCGCCACTGGGCGCAGACCCTGAGCGCCACGGGGTGTGACCCCCAGAACCAGAAGAAAAGAAGAGGGCTGGGACGATAGCATAGCAGATAGGGCGTGTGCCTCGCACGCGGCCAACCTGGGTTCGATTCCCAGCATCCTATAGGGTCCCCCGAGCACCACCAGGAGTAATTCCTGAGTGCAGAGGCAGGAGGAACCCCTGTGCATCACCAGATGTGACCCAAGACGCAAAATAAATTAATTATATTAAGTAAAAAATAAAAAGAAAAGGATGCATTGGTGTCGTGGGACCCAGCACCTTCTCCTCTGGAGCCGAAAGCACAGGAAGGGGTGGGGGGGTGGCACCCCCACATCCATAACTGCATTTGACACAGTAACCAAAGGGTGGAAGCATCCCGGGGATCACAGATGGGTGGGTGGGGGATGGGAGAGACCCATCCTGCAGCCACAGTGATGGACAGTACGTCAGATGCCCCAGACCTCTAAGGTCACAGAGCCGTTGCCAGCGAGAGAAGCCGGGAACAGGCGGGCAATGATCCCACCTATCTGATGGGTCTCAGTCAAACTCCGAAGCAGACACTATCGGACGGGTACTGCTTCTAGCATAAGAGTCTGTGCTCTGCAAGGTGAAAAACGTGTGTAAAACGTGAACGTATTCAACATGACTCAGGAACAGCTTTGTAACGCTCTATCTCACGGTGATTCCAAAAAATAAATAAGAAAAGAAACAAGAGGCGGGAGGGTCCAGCTCCAGAACTGGAGGACGCACTTGAAGTGTGACCCCAGCGGGTGGGCCCCGCGCAGGACCAGCAGCGCCTTCAGGCCGGACTCCCTGCGGGGGTGGGACCCGGGCGCAGCAAGCACGGGACGGAAGAAGGGCTCGCTCGGGAGCGCGCTGCGTGGCCGGCCGGGCTGGAGACGTGGCCCGGGACGAGGCCGGCCCCTGGGCGCGGAGGCCGCGCAGCCCGCGTGGACGCGCGGACGCCGGGGCGGGGCGGGGCGGGGCCGAGCGGGCCGGGGCGGGGCGGGGCCTGCGGGGGCGGGGCGGGGCCTGCGGGGCGGGGCCCGGTGACGTCAGGGCGCCCCGGGCCAATGGCGGGCGGGCGGGCGGGCGGCGCGGCGGCCCGCGGCCGGCAGGCGGCGCTGGGGGCCGGCGGGCGGCGTCCGGGAGCCGCCGCCATCGCCGCGCAACGTCCGGGCCGGCCGCTGGGCGCCGCCGCCATGGCCGACGCGGAGGACGGCGACGAGCCGTGCGCCCTGCTGGCGTCTCACGCGGCCGGCGCGGGCGCCAAGGCGGCCGGCGACAAGATGTTCTCGCTCAAGAAGTGGAACGCCGTGGCCATGTGGAGCTGGGACGTGGAGTGCGATACGTGCGCCATCTGCCGGGTGCAGGTGATGGGTAAGCGCCGCCCGCGGGCCGCGTCGGGGTCGGGGGTCGCGGGCAGGGGCCAGGGTCGCGGCGGCGGGGGCCGGGGTGGGCGCCCGGGGCCCGAGCCCGGCGCAGAGGGGGGCCCGGGCCCGTCGCCCGCACCCCGCGACCCCGGGACCCCCCGGCCGGTACCGCCCCCAGCGGTCGTTGCGGCGCGTCGCGGCCCCCCCACCCCCGGCCCGTCCTTCTCGTCCTTGATTGTCTTCCCGGGTGTCGCGTTGTCTTTGGGGCAGAGCCCGTGCGCGTCCCGGGACGGGGGCGTCGGATGCCAGGCCCGGCGAGCAGCTGCGGCTCGTGCCGCGTTTGCCTTTTGCAAACACCCCCAGGGTCTGCTGGGGGCGAAAAAGAGGCGCCTGGAATCGAGCGGGGCTTTTCCGGCGGCCGGGAGCCCCCCCCCCAGGAATTTTTTGTTTTTTAATTAAAATCCTGCCTTGCCCTGAAAAAGGAGCAGTGAATCGAACGGCTTAAAAGCGATTGCTCGTTTTGCGTGCGCGCTCTCTTTGGTTTTGATTGCTGGGCCGCGCTCAGAGTTGGCTCCTGCTTCGGTGCTCAGGGCCCCTCCGGGCGGGGCTGGAGGGGTCACGTGGCATGCCTGGGCTCTGTCAAGAGCCTTAGCTGCCCTCCGTACCCTTAGCTCCCTGGCCCCTGCAGTATGCTCCTTTTTTGTGGTTTTTTTTTATGCTTTCATGCCGAAGCTCTTGTTTCTGGTTTCCCATTTGCCAGGGACAGGGTGGGTTGGTTTTTAAGCCACAGCTGGCGGTGCTCAGGGATTGGTGCTCCAGGAACCATATGGGATGCTGGGAATTGAACCCGGGTTGGCCAGGTGCAAGGCAAAGTGCCCAGTCCGCGCTATGTACCAGATCTCAGGTCCTTAAGCCTAGTGTCAGCGAGAATTACGTGGGATTCCAGTGGAGTGTTTGTTAGGGTATTTTTTTAGTTTCCTTTTGCAAAGCCATTTATTTCAGACAAACACTCTTTATGGCGACTCTCCCGAGGCTGGGCTGAATGTATATGACTCACATTCAGCCACTCACTCTCTCTCCTAGGGCAGACATCTGGCCCCTGGACTAATGGTGCAGGTTTCCAGACCTGGGTTTTATTTCAGGAAAGCTCTGGACTTTGGTAGGAGGTGTGAAATCCACTGGGTGGCCAGAAGTGGCTCCAGTTTGCCTGTCTCGTCCCTGCTCCTGACCATTCTAGAAGTTGCTGCTGTGGTCTTGGGAGCTTTTCCTTCTTCTTCTTTTTTTTTAAAAAAAAAATAAAACATTAGGAGTTTTTCTAAAACACTAGGAATTTGCTTGGTTGAAATCCCCCCCCCCCCCCAAAGTGAAATAAGGAAGCAAGAGAGTTTTTAATTGCACATAGCTCACGCACCCATACCGGCACTCACGGGCCTGAGAGAGGAGCCCAGGAAAGACCCGTTTTGATCCCGCAATTATGACCCGGAGATGTCCCAGTTCTCCGAACAGATCCCCTTCGCTCCCTCCCCGTAGCATCTGGGCTCCGTCTCGAACCCTGGGAGCTGCCACCCAGCAGAGCAGACTCCTGGGCTTGCTGGGCTCGGGCCGACGGTGAACCTGGGCTTGTCGCCTCCATGTCTCCTGCCGTGGGCAGGAGGCTGTGGGGTGGCCAATGCCTGCTTAGTTGTTGGCCCGGCTGGACCCTGTAGAGCGTCGGGGTGCCTGTGAGCCGGTCCTGTGCTCCCCCGGCCCTCCATTCCGGCCCGGGCCTGAGAAACGTTCTCGTGGATGGGCTCGAGCCTCGCCCAGCTGCTGAGTGACTCCGTTTTGTTGCTCCCCACATTTCAGTGCGGATTGAATTTTGGGGGGGGGAAATCAGAATACTCTTGGTTTCCTTTCCTAATGTTGACTCCCGAGCAGTTTATTCCGTTTTTGTTTTGATGGTGATGGGGGTGGGGGGCGGGCACACCCGGGTGTGCTCCGGCCTTACTCCTGGTGGGGCTCCAGGGACCATGCGGGGTGTTGGGCACCAAACCCAGGTCAGCCCCGTGCAGGACAAGCATCTTTCCTGCTGTGCTGCTCTCTCCCGCCCCTACATTATTTTATTTTATTTTTGCCTTTGATGGTAAAGGCTTTGGACACAGGCTATGACCATTTATAAATTGGGGCCGGAGTGATAGTACAGCGGGGAGGGCATTTGCCTTGCACATGGCTGACCCAGGTTCAATTCCCAGCACCTCATAGGGTCCCCCAAGCACCCCCAGGAGTGATTCCTGAGTGCAGAGCCAGGAGTAAGCCCTGAGCATTGCCAGGTGTGACCCAAAAGCAAAAAAAGAAAAAGAAAATTCATAAATTAATTTTTTTGTTTAGATTTTATCCATCTTGGGGCCTGATAGCGCAGCAGGTAAGGTTGGCCCGGGTACAATCCCTGGCATCCCATATGATCCCCCTAACCCGCCGGGAGTGATTCCTGTGCAGAGTCAGTGCTAGACCCTGAGCATCGCCAAGTGTGGGCAAAAACCAAAAAATTCTGTCCATCTTCCACGCTCAGAAACTTACGAACATATAGGATGGAAACTCCCCATTCTTCCCCCTTCCAGGTAAGCTTTGTTACTCATGTCTTGGTGGCCCCTCTGAAGAGTTGGGGGGGCGGGGCTGGAGCCATAGCACAGCGGGGAGGGCATTTGCCTTGCACGAGATCGACCCGGATTCGATTCCCAGCGTCCCATAGGGTCCCCCGAGCACCTCCGGGAGTAATTCCTGAGTGCATGAGCCAGGAGGAACCCCTGTACATCTCCGGGTGTGACCCCAAAGGCTAAATAAATAAAGAGTTGGGGGTTGGGGGCAGAGAGATAGTACAGCAGGTAAGGCACTTGCCTTGCACACAGCCAACCTGGGTTCGATCCCCACTGCTCCATATAGTCCTTGTAGCACCGCCAGGAGTGATTGTTGATTGCAGAGCCAGAAGTAACCCCTGAGAATCGCCGGGTATGGCCTCCCCCCCAAAAGAAATCAATAAAAATAAAGAGTGTATGAGGCTGGAGAGATCGTACAGTGGTTAGGGCTCTTCCCTGACGTGTGGCCAACCCATGTTGGAGCCCCAACACCACATATGGCTCTCGACACTGCCAGGATGCCCCAAAACTCAACCCAAGTGAAAAGATAAACATTTCTTTATGGGAATGTGCATGATACGCACATGGCTTGTTTAAAACGGTCTGCAGGAGTGCCTGAGAGTCTATAAAACCTGGACTGGGCAGTCACAGACTGTTCTCTAGCCCTGGCCTCTACTCGGGATCTCTCGTGAAATCCACGGAGGTGGGTCATCCTCGTGCAGCTGCCACGGGCTGGTCAGTACACGGGCCATCAGTAAACCAACAAGAGGCCCTTTATTCAGAGCCCACAGTTATCTGCAGATGAGAAGTTAAGAGCCTGAGCCTTTTATCTCCATCCCTGGCCTGTGGGCTTTTCTTTGACTTTGAAGTGTCTGGGTTTTGAAAGTTGCTTTCTGCCATCAGAATGAGGTTGCTCTTCGTTTACTTTCAGATGCCTGTCTTAGATGTCAAGCTGAAAACAAACAAGAGGATTGTGTTGGTATGTTGTCATTTCCTTCTCGTGCTTTTTCAACTGAAGGCTTTCTCTCAGCAGGGATGTTTGAATTTGCAATTAAGATAGACTTTATCAATACACAAAAATAAACTGTAAAGCAGTGATCCATTATTAATATAAAAATGTGTCGGTTCCCAAAAGGACTGAAGGAATTAGTGTGCAAATCCTCTTTGTCTTAACCTGTAAGTTAAGACTTGGTTGTGTTTGCAGGGACGGTTATAGAAAACATTTTGATACTAAAAAGATCATGATACTCTCTTCTGTTAAAATGTAATAACTTACCAAAACTTTTAAGGTTCTGCCTATGGTAAGTATTGTAGTGTTTTGTTGTAATAAAGCCTTTCTGTATTGAGTACTTTATTATGATGCAGCATCGAACTTTTTCAATTTTGGTAAGACATTTTCTAAACCTCAAGGGTTGTTTGTTTATTTATTTGTTTTTTTTATTATTAGAATGGAGATTGTATCTAGAAAAATCTGAAGGGCTGGCATGATAGTGATGTGAGCTGGGCACTTTGATCCCCGGCACCCTACGTGGTTTCCCCTAGCACTGCCAGGAGTGATCCCTGAGCACAGAGCCAGGAGTAAGTCCTGAGCACAGCCAGATTTGGCTCAAAAGAGAAAAAGAGTTTTTTTTTTTGAATGTTCATTTGGGAGCTGGAGCTAGGGTCCAGGGGTTGAGTTGCATGCCCGTGTGTGTGACTGACCCCAGCTCTGCAGACAGGCCTCCAAGCACTGCCAGGTGTGGCCTCGACCACCCCTCTCCATCCCCTCAAATCAATACTGGTTTGGGCCAGCCTTCTTGGGTCCCAGAGAGACATCGGTTTCCAGCTGGCCGCTATGAAAGTTTGGTTTGGCTCGGCTTGTTACGTAAGGAGCTGCAGTGCTTCTGGGTGGCTGGGCCCCGCAAGGCTCCCGGTCCAGAAAACAAGACAGATGTGCGGCCGAAAGGGCCAGAATCCCCTCAGCTGTCTCCAGCGGCCAGCCGCGAACGGAGGCGCTTCCAGCTCCCAGCCTGGTGAAGAAGAGCAGCGAAGCGATTTCTCAGTTAAAAGAAGGCCTGACATGAGCTCAAGGTCCTGTGTGGCTGGGGAGGCCTGGGGTCTTGGGAAGGCTCAAGGGAAGGCTCAAGTCCTTTCCGTGTCCCCATTTAGGGAGGATGGCAGAGAGAGTTCTGTAGGAACACACACACACACACACACACACTCTCTCTCTCTCTCTCTATCTCTCTCTCTGCCTTCTCCCCAGTCTTACATGTCATATGTAACTTTTCGTTCTTCTTTCTCCCCCGCCAACAGTTTAGTTTTGTTTTTGGGGCCATGCCCAGCAGTGCTTGGGGGACCCTGTGGGATGCTGGGGTTGGAACCCCGGTCGGCCACGTGCAAGGCAAACCCCCTACCCGCTGCTGGACTGTCTTTCTGGCCTGCCTCACTGTCATTTCTTTAAGGGGGGGCGGGACCCGTTTTGACTTCCTGTCCCTCTGCGTGACGCCCTGTCCCTGTGCTTCCTTTCAGTGGTCTGGGGAGAATGCAATCACTCCTTCCACAACTGCTGCATGTCCCTGTGGGTGAAGCAGAACAACCGTTGCCCCCTCTGCCAGCAGGACTGGGTGGTCCAGAGAATCGGCAAATGAACCAGCAAGAGCCTTTCAGGGTGCAGCTGTCGGGACCCCCCGGGGGATGCCGGCAGCAGATGGCACTGCAGAGGGTCTACGGCGCCCGCCGGGTCTGCACCTCTGGCCCGCCGGGCTCGCAGAGGCCCGCCTGGATCCTCGTTTTGTCGGTTCTATTTTTTAGAAAGTCTCCACAATTAAGATGATAATTTATTACAGATGATCTTCCCTACCTCTGTGCCATGTGGCGCGTGCGGCCTCGTGTGGCCACCGGCTCTCCCGGGACCCCGGGCGCGTGATAGCAGCGCCGGGCACAAGAGAACATCTGCATGCGCTGGTTGATCGGTTTTTAAAAAGACAATGTGACGGTAACCAATAAAGTGCAGTTGAAATGGCAAGGCGTCATTTGTCAGTAATGTCTGTTTGGGGCAGCGGTGGCTCGTGAAGTCTTGGCATGTGAGCTGGGTGATCGCGTCTCAGCCAAGGGCCCCGGGGTGTCCGTGGTCTTTGGTCGCCTTGGGAGTCTCGGCCACACCTGCCCCGCTCCCAACCCAGCCCTGACGGGTGGGCTGGACATCTCCGGGTTCTGGTTCGGTCCTGTTGCGATTTGGCCATGTTTTAAGCGGAATGTTAATGAGGGGGAAATTTTTCCCACTAGCGCTGATGGAAAGGTTTGTTTTAATATACAGTGTTTTAATAAATGCTTTATTTTGTTTACATTGAGTGGTCATTGGATTTTATGTCCAACATTAAACTTAGAGTTTAAGAAATGCAAGTGAGTACTTTCATGTAACTTGGAAAAACACTCCAATATTCTTTCACTTCGTAATGAAAATAACTAATTAGCTCTAAATAATAAAATTGCAAGTCTGTCACCTGGAATTATAGAGGTACAAGAGAACACTTAAATATCATTGGATTCATTAATTTTGTTACTTTTTTTTTTTCGTTTTGTTTCTTGGGCCACACCTAGCGATACTCAGGGGTCACTCCTGGCAGTCTTGGGGGGACCAGATGGGATGTTGAGGTCCCCACCTCGGTTGGCTGGGTGCCCGGCAAACGCCCTCCCCGCTGTACTGTCGCTCCAGCTCCAGGGAATTTTTGATCGGCCTTTTGGGGTTTGGTGGTGTTTGTTGTTTTTTGTTTGGGGGCCACTCCCAGTCAGGGCTTCCTCCTGGCTCTACACTCAGGAGTAATTATTCCTAGTGGGCTCGGGGACCGTGTAGGGTGCCTGGAATCAACCCAGGTTGTCAGCTTGCAAGGCAAGCGGTCCTGCTCCTGTCCTGTCTGTGTCCCCAGCCCTGGTTGGCCTCTAAAGAAGTCGCGCCCGTCAGCAGTGAGTCGGCTCTCTACAGTGAAGAGAAGTGTGTTGTTATTTCCAGTCAGAATGTTGTTGTTTTCGTCAGCATGACAATGGAAATGTATCTTGGAGGCTGGTGGCAATGCCCAGTGCCACCCCTAACAAAGATCTTCTGTCTTTCCTTCGCAGTAGAAGAGGGCCGGGCAGATGCAGTGAGGTCATCTGCATAATGCACCCGAAAGGTTAACCGCATTCTTTCTGCAGGAACACGGAACACAAGGGTGGTTCTTTCTGTGTCCCTGCGCTGCGAACCGCCTTCCTGTTGAATCCAGTGAATTTTATTTTACTAGTGTGTTAGAAAAACATATTGGTCACTTCTAGCTATTTACTGACCCGACTGTAAGGTTCAGTCTTGTGACCCCTGGCATCGAGTCATTAAGTCTCAGCCTGGGAAGTCCATTGCATCCTTGTATTAGATGCTGGGGTCGGGGTGCGCGGGCGGCCCAGGGTCCCCTCTGAGCTGGAAGCTCAATGATGCGCTGGGTCTCCATAGCTACACCCGGCTGTGCTCAGGGGACCACGAAGTGCCGGGAATTCAGAAGGGGTCAGCTTCTGGGGTCAGAGCTATAGGAGAGCGCGCTTGGCTTGCACGAGGCTGGCCCGGGTTCAATCCCTGCCACCCCATGTGGTCCCCTGAAGCCTGCAGGAGTGATTTCTGAACACAGAGCCAGTAGGAAGCCCTGAGCACTGCTGGGTATGCCCCCCAAAAACAAAGGGGGTCAGCTGTGTACAACTTGTGCCTGAACGAACCCCTGAATAGTCTCTAATCATTTCATAAACAACATGTCTTCTTGGGGCCAGGAAGATAGGACAGTGGGTAGGGTGTTTGCCTTGCATGTGGCCAACCGGGTTCTAAACCAGCATCCCATAGGGTCTCCCAAGCAGACCAGGAGTACATCCTGAGCTCTGCAGGAGTGACCCAAAGCCAAACATGCGTCGTGTTTAGTACAGCGGGGAAGGCACTTGCCTTACGTGCAGCCAGCCCAGTTCTGTCCCTGCCACCGCATATATGGCCCCAGGAGGGACCCTGATCACTGCTGAGTGTGGTCCAGAAACCAAAAATGTTTTTAAAGAACATAGTCCCCTTTATAGTTCTGAATTGAAATTCTTGTCTATCTTCGCACAGTGTGTATAATACTGATTTCATTCGTCCTGTGTTTCAGCATGTAAACATGTGGGCCTTATTTTGCCAGAGAACAATGAGGTAGTTGAGGTGTGTGGTGGTGTCATGCCTGCACGTGTGTGTATGGTTGTGTCACCCTTGTGTGTGTGGTTGTGTGTCACCCTGAATATTGTGTGAGGCTGGGCCACACCTGTGGTGCTCATTTCAGTCCCATGGATGCAGAACCTGGGCCCCGCCCTGAGTTCTCCTTGGCCCCTGTTGTCCGGTAGAGAAAATGCAAAGTTGGGAGCTGAAGTGATAGCACAGCAGGGAGGGCGTTTGCCTTGCACGCGGCCAACCCAGGTTCGATTCCCAGCATCCCTTAGGGTCCCATGAGCACTGCCAGGAGTAACTCCTAAGTGCAGAGCCAGGAGTAACCCCTGTGCATCGCTGAGTGTGACCCAAAAAGCAAAAAAAAAAAAAAAGAAGAAGAAGAAGAAAATGCGAGTGTGGCCTGGGGGGTCTTGCGCAGTCAGTGTGCCCTGGGAGCCTCCAGCGAGGCTGCCTGAGCACCCTCGGGGAGCCTGCAGTAAACTATAGCCCCATTCGCTGAGAATTGCTGGTGGGGGCTTCTGGGCCCCTAAGTGCCACTCATGAGGTGCCCCACCCGCCCTCAAAAAAAAAGAAAGAGCAGGTAAATTATTTGGACTAGCATTGCAGAGGTATAGACTAGTCGGAACTCTTGCCATGACATAATTTCACAAACCCAGGAAACGGACGAGGTTTGTGTCATGGACCTAATGGTCGCCAACAGTAGGGCTCCCACGCTTCCGCCTTTGTTGGGAGTCCCTGGGGTGGGGGAGCAAATGAGCCTTGGCTGTACTGGTTCCTCCTCTGCATCTGCCTTGGAGATGATTGTTACTCTCAACCGTGAGCTTTGCTCATCTGATTCTGATGTCACAATTCCGTATGTCTAGAATCAAAATGTATTATTTAGGGGCTGGAGCTGGGGTCGGGCGTTTGCCTTGCACCAGCCGACCTTGGTTCCATCTCCAGCATCCCATATGGTCCCCCGAGCACCGCCAGGGGATGGTGGTGTTATTCCTGAGTGCAGAGCCAGGAGTAACTACACCTGAGCATCACTGGGTGTGACCCAAAAAGGAAAAAAAAAGTATCATTGGTTGCTTGTCTACCACATACAGGGCTTGACCCTCCCGGTCCAACCACGCTGAACGAAGTCAAGTCAGTTTTCTGCCTTCAGAGACCAGAGATTCTGTTAGGCACGTGAGATGGGGTGGAGAGAGACAGGTCAGAGGTTAAGGCAGACTTTGCGCATGGGACCTGGGTTTGTTTCCTGCCACGGCACGGTCCCACCAGCCCCACCAGAGTGACCCCAAGCTGGGCTGGGGGCATGGCCCTTACGCCATGTGGAGCATACCTGGGCACCGGGTGTGAGGCCCTGGGTTCGACCCCGGGGCCCTCCCTCCTTGCCCTCCCCAAATGGCGGGCGTCTGCCACAGCCCAGATGGACAGTGGCCCAGGAAGGTGGGGAAAGGCCATGTTGGCAGCAACTGCAAACACCAGCATGTTTCCTTCCTCTCGTGGTTTTTGGGCCACGCCCAGTGTGCTCGGGGGTCCCTCCCGACAGGGCTCTGGGGACCATGGGCAGTGCCAGGGATCGGCTGCGTGCAAAGCAGGTTCCTTGCGTGCTGTCCTCTCTGGCTACTCCGTGGGCATATGTGTTGGGGTGATGCAAGCCCATTTGTACTGGGCTTTGTCGTGTCTGGGAGGCCGGTGTGTGTGTGTGTGTGTGTGTGTGTGTGTGTGTGTGTGTGTGTGTGTGTGTGTCTCGGCGGGGAGGTTGCGTCTAGCATTTCTGGATGCGGGAGTACAACTCCCTGAAATGCCCAGCTCACTGTGCTTTCACTTCTCCTTCCACGCCACGTGACCTTCTCATCCACCTTTGCCTCTGCGTCCTTCACACAGGGCACAGCTGGGGCCTTGCCTTGGTCAGAAGGACCCGCTTCAGGAAGAAAACATCATTTAAAATCATTTCTTGAGGCAGGCGGGAGCCGAGGCTAGAGGCGCTTGCAGTGCAGCAGGTCTGGGTTTGCTCCCCCGCAGCCCCGTGCCCCCACTCCTGGGGTCCCCTGAGCATCACCAGGAGTGACCCCTGAGCACAGCGCCAGGAGTCAGCGCTGCTGGGCCTGCCCCCCGAAAGGAGATGTTTATTATTCTACCGACACCCTTTTACCTTGGTTAACTAGTGGGAAATATAAGAAAGGGCACCAGGGGCTGTTCCTTTGGTCTTTGTTCAGCTCTTCAAGAAAGCACTCAAATCAAAATAATTGTGTTCCTCTTGTTCTGGCCCCTGCAGAGAGAACCCGGAAAGCTCGGGGTTCATTAGAAGTGCTGCGTTTTCAAGAAGTGTGTCAGGCTGAGGAGAGCCAGTACCAGGGGAAGTGGTTTACTCACAGTGAAAAAGTTGCCTTCATTCCAGCTCTCAGACGTTTTAGAAAGGGTTTTAAATGCCCCAAATCGGGGCGCTGGCCCCAGTCCTACAGTGGGAATCTTAGTATCACCCGAACGCCGACGTTTATTCGTGAGTTTTCTGCGGAACGGGAGGGGTGTTTCCTAGAACCAGTTCCTTTTGAGTCTCTATCTGGGGGTGCCTCCGTGGGCGTGGACCCCACATTCTGGATCTGGCCATGAGCACACACCCTTCCTCGGGGTTCAGGCAGCCCTGCCCTGTACCCCCACTTCTAGGAGGGGAGCCGCCTTCTGCTCCACCAGCCCTGCTGCTGGTTAATGCTGGATTCCTTGACAAGCTAGTGAACACCAAATAAACAGACCTACAGAAGCACAGGTGAGGGGCCGGGCGATAGAACAATGTGGGGAGGGTGTTTGCCTTGCACGCGTCTG